TAATGATATTTTGAAATTTAATTTTGGTCATTAAAATAAAATAACTTTGAGTAAAGTTTCACAATATTTTAGCTAGCTTTTAAAACTTCATAGAAATTCCTCTGGAAAATTTTAATTGGCAGAATCTATTTATTTTCTCTTTTCTCGTAAACTATTGTGCTATTCATTTATTACATATATGTATAAAGGAGAAGACATTTAAAGTCATGTATGTCAATTTGCCAAATAAACATGCTCTTCTTTTAACACATAGGATTAGTGAGTAAAACAAGTGACATATAAATTAGCTGTTAAAACTATAATTATAAATTAAATGAAAAAATATAATTGATTTGCTTTTATTATGTTATTCAATTTCTTATCTTAAAAAATTTGAAATACCAAACGTCTTTATTTAAATAAAAAAAACCTTCAAATGTTTTTGCTAAAAAATTAAGCCATGCATGATTTAATTAATAAATAATTAAATAATTAATAATAGAATGCATTATTTTCTCAATTAAATTCATTGTAGTCACTACTTATGACTGTTATTATGTGTCTTGCTTTCAAAAATTCAAAATCACAAATGTCTTTATTAAAAAATATATATATAAATAAAAACTTCAAATGTATTTGCTAAAAACTATAATGAAATGCGTTGATTTTTTAAAATTATATTCTTTATGATCACTGTTTATTATGACATTTAAACCAAACATTATATATATGTATATATATATTCCTCACGCACTACTAGAAAAAAATGAATTTATGAGGATAAATTTGTGATAGTCTAAAAACCATATAAAAAAAGAAATTTTAGCAAAGGTTTTTAAAGAACCGTAGCAAACCGATCCTTGAAGATGAATTTTAGTGACGGCTTATTCTAAATCGATCAAGGAAGCTTGAATTTTACAAAGGTTTAGTTGAATTGCCGCAAAAGTTATGACCGATTTTGAAATTGGCAACGGTTTATGCAAATCGTTGCTAATTTCAACAAATTTAGCAATGATTTTTTTAAACCATTGCAAAATTTGCTTATTAATGAGGGACTTTAGCAACGACTTAGATCGATCCGAGGTCGACACCCATGCTTAGAGGGTGAAGGTGAAAAAAATTAAAATTTCGGCTAATTTTTAGTAAACATGACCTATACCGATAAATAGGCAAGTTTTAAAAAATTGATAGCCTTTTATTAATATGAGCAATGAGTCACTAATACCTTTACTCACATAAGTAGGAAGCAATCGACGACTTCGAGTCATGGATTTAAGAAGTTATCGATAACTTCATCACATAAATGAAAAGCCACCAACAACTTCATTTCGCTAAGGTGAAGAGTAGATAAGTGGTTTTAGGCTTTTTTTTTCTTTTTTTTTTTTTGTGGAGAGAAAAGTTAGCTTTTATAGGTAGGAATTACGGTTTTTGGTATAAAAATCCATTTCAATCCCTAATTTCACCTAATTTGTCAAATTAAGCATAATTTGGGTCGTTTGAATTATAATGGCACTCAAATTATAATTAATCAAGCCCTTTCTTAAAAATTTCTCTAATTATGTCCCTTTTTTTATTTTTCCCTTGACTAAGTTTATTTCCAAACTTTCTATTTTTTTTTAATTAACCCCCATCTCCTTAAAATTAATTTAATCTAATTATTTTTATTACTTTGATTTTTTTAATTGTTTTTTTTTTTGACATTTTGTTTTCTTCTATCATTTTTGGTATTTTTGTAATAAAATAAAAAAATAAAATGGGAAAAAAAATTGGGTGCTAGCAATAAACAAATAGGAAAAACAGGTAAATAGAAAAAATAGACAAATAGATAAATAAAAAAAAGGCAAAATAAGCAAATAGACAAAAATACGCAAAATACGCAAATAGGCAACATTAACAGGATAGACAAATAAACAAAATTAAGTAAAATAGACAAATAGACATATAAGCAAGATAGCCAAATGGCCAAGATATGCAAAAAGACAAAATAGATAAAAACGAAAAAATGGCAAAATTGGTAAAAAAACAAAAAAAAGCAAAAAATGGAAAAAACAACAAAAGCGATAAAAAAGACAAAATTGGCAAAAATCATTGAAGTTGGCGAAAACGGAATTCGGGTCAATGCGACTTTAAAAGTTATGATTTTTAAGCAAAATCGTTGAGATTGGCAAAAAAGATCCGAAAACAAGATTCGGACCGAAACGACTTCGAATGTCATGATTTTTCAAACAAATTAATTTGACAAGTAAAATTAGCATGGCAAGCAATGTTGGCATGAATGGTCCAAATCTAGGTTTGGACTTAAATGACTTAAAATTCGTGATTTTTCCGGACGACATCTTAGGCAAAATCAACAAAAATGGTCCAAGCGAGAGGTTCGGATAGATACGATTTAGATATCATATTTTTTAGGACAAAATCAACACAATATAATTATTCATCACGATTGGAAAAAACTATACAAAACGAGGTTCGGACCAACGCTAATTAAGAATCATATTTGTTTAGGGGAATTGACAATAATATCTAAATTGATCATTATTTGACAAAAATGGCCCAAACAACGGGGTTTGGATTGGCACTACTCAAAGTTGCATTTTTAGATAAAATTAATACATTAGCAATTTAATGTTACCATTAGCAAAAATGATCAAAAAACGAGATTAAGACCAATGCAATTTGAAAAAAAAAATCATTGGATATTAGTTCCCCACTCTGTTTCGATATTTTCCGAGGTCTCAACTCTTTTTGGAGACGTGATACACTACTTGTCATACCCTAAAATTTTACTCATTTTTCTTTTATTTTAGTTTTCTTTATTATTATTATTATTATTATGTTGTTGTTTAAATTCATACTTGTTTTACATAAAACAACATTAAAAAATCAAAAAAAATATTTTTTTATTTAATTAGAATTCAATACAAAATTACAAAAAAAGAAAAATATATATATATATATATAAAAGGGAAAATAAAAGCGAGAGATGGAGGGACAGTTCCTCTCCATTTCCTTTACAATTTTTCAACATTTCCTAGCTACCCTGGACAATTCCCAAAATCAATTTTCTACCTAAGCCGAAGCCCCTCTTTTGTAATTCCCGCATTATTCCTTAACTTGCAGTCGCCCAACTCCTCCCAAGTCCACAATCTCGGCACCCCCTGCATTGCGGCCACCCTACGACCCACGATCTCACCCTCTCGCCAAGCCATTTTGTCAACCCCAACTTGTCCTTGCATCGCAATCTCCCCTCTAGTCAACAAAATCAAGCCAACCACCCTATTGTCTGTAAATCCCAGCAGTTTCCTCATCACCCAAATTAGTCTCTACCACGCTACTACCGCAACTCCCGTAGCACTACCCTACCGCCCTAGCCCACAATTTCAAGCACAACCACCCCGCACGACCACCCTGCGTAGGACACAAAACCAATCCCATCCAACCCCCCCACTGGACAAACCTACGGAAAATCCCCCACCATCATAGTGGAGGAACCAACCAAGCATTCACGGACATATATATATATGCATAAGTCACAACATAAAAAAAGGGAGTCCAAAATGAAGAGAGCCCGAAATTGAAAGCAAAATCAAGCAAAACAAAAAGAAAAACTGGGCGAGTAGCAAAGAATTAAAAAAATAAAAGAAAAGAAAAGAAAAGAGAGAACGAGTTTACTCGAAATCGAATTACAAATCGCATCAATCGGACCCAAATTAATTTCGGGTAATCTCCTTTTATTTCCTTAATTTTGTCTTCAATGTCGGTTTAGGTTTTGATTTACAATTTGAGGATTTTTCTAAACTTGAGTCCTAAAGGGTGAATTAACTTGATTTCAAGAAAAATCAAGTTAATTGGACTAATTGAAAGGGAAATTTGAAAGATTGAAAAATTAGGGTTCGGTCGGAATTGGGGAAAGTTTCAACAATTGATTTAGGGCTTTTGATCTAACTTGAAGAGGGGGTTAATAGAGTGAGAGGGAGAAAATTAGGGGCCGGCCATGGATGAACCTCCATCGGTTCGTCCATGGCGGTCTCGGCCATAGGAGAGAAAGAGACGATGGAAAAGGAAAGGGAGAGAAAAGAGAAAGGGAAGAAAAGAAAAAAGGGAGAAGGGAAAGAAAAGATAGAAAAAAGGAAGACAAGGAGGGACGAACCATAACCGGTCCGTCCATGGAGGTTGGCTTCGGCTAGGAGAGGGAAGAAGAAGAAGAAAGAAAAAGAAAGAAAAAAAATAGGAAATGAGGAAGAGAAGAAAGGGAAGAAAACGAAAGAAAAGAAAGAAGAGAAATAGGGACGAATCAATGGTGGTTCGTCCATGGCAGATTGGGTAGAGAGAAGGGAAGAAGAAGAAGAAGAAGAAAGAGAAACGGGAAAGAGATAGGAGGAAAGGAAAATTGATAAAAAAAAAAAAAAAGGGCTTTTGATCTAAGTTTATTCGAAATGGGGATTGGGTTTTTGGGTTGTTTTTGCTTGTAAATGGTGTGGGTTAGGCTTGGCCCAACCCACGGGTTAGTGGGTCGGATCGAAATTTCGATCCAGTCTAAAAAAAAATATTTGAGTCGGATCTGGATGAACCAAAAAAAAAAAAAAACAAACAAAAAGAGAAAGAAAAAGAAGAAAAAAATTTTTTTATGCATGTTTGTAATTAATTAATTTAAGTATTGAATTTTTTTATATATTATTTTAGTTAATGTAATTTTAATTTTAAGTTTATTTATGCATGTTAGTTAGTTTATATTAATTTAGAATTTGTTATTTTAATATTTTGTAATTGTTTTTAATTTATCCTTTAATTTATTTGATGTATGCTTGTTATTAATTTAAATTTCGGTATTTGAAGTTTTTTTCTTTTATTTAATTCATGTAACTTTAATTTATTTTTTTAGTCATTAGGCTCGGTAAGTATTAAATTTCGGTACAATGATCGAATGGCTAGAGATTGTTGGATGGGATTGTTGCGACCGACGAGGAAGGGCGTTGCTTGATGGCTATAAATTGGTTGTTGGACGGCGACATATGTTGCTACTAGTTGAAACAAACAACAACAACTTTGATGGAGGAGATCAAGGGAGGATGAGCGTTGGGTGACAACGGCTTCGAGTAAAGAAGATCGAGGGAGGAGTAGCGAGTGGACGAAAGTAGCTTTGGAAGAGATCGAGGATTGATTGGAGCACTTGACGACGAGCAGCTTCGGTGGAGGAGATGGCCGATCGGACTTTTCTTAGGGGAGAGAGAGTGTGTGGTTGGGTTTTTAGAGAGAGAAAGTATGTAGGGTTTTGAAGAAAATTGGAGAATTTATACTGCATTTTTTGGGTTTTTTTGATGAAGTTCAGTTTAGTCCCTCATATGGCAAGCTTGTTTTATTTGGTCATTTTCTCTCTCTTTTTTTTAATTGAATCCCTCGATTGTTTTTTTAGTTTGACCTAGTTCGATGCGAAACGTGCAAATGATAAAAACTCATCGCTATAATATATGACTTATGAGTGATTTTTGTCGAAAAAAATATGGTTTAAGCTCTCAAAATTAACCTTCATGGTTTTTCAAAAAGATACGGGCTAACCAATTTTAAAATACGTCGAATAGTATGAGAGTGATAAAAAATAATAAAAAATATAATTCAAAATTAAAAATAAAGAATTAATTAAAATTCATAACAGATTTGAATCATTTATTTATTTATTATTATTATCATGCATTTGGTACCCTATAATTAAATGCAGTACGGTGTCAATTTTTCAAATTAAAATAAGGTGCTGTTCAGTTCATGAATTCATTGATGATTGACATTTGCGGAAAGTAGAAAGATATTCCTACACAAAGTTGTGTCAGTTTCTCAAAATTGTTGGAAATTTCATTTCAGAACTTTCGCCGACCAAACGCCGAGTCACGTTTGCAATGTGAAGGAAGAAGGATTTTCATTTCTGCTTAGAAAATGACTACTCCGCTGACCATTGACTGTTCACACGCAATTGCACCGTCTATCTGTACACCCAAATAGCGCACAAGGTCATAACCATTCACTCTCCTATATAAACAAGCCCACTCCCACGCCATTTTCTCACTCAAATTCCCTCACTTTCCCAGTCCCCAAACGAGAAAGAAAACCTAATCTCCCCATAACCAAGAATCAAGATTAATGGCTTATTCAGGCTCTGCTTTGAGAACCATCTCTTCTGCTACTTCTGTGAAAGCAGCTGCAGCAAGATCACACACTAATGGTGTTGTGCCCATCAATCCATCACTCTTGTCTTTCAAGCTGGCTCCAAGCACACGTCTCCTCACAAAAACTTCAAGCTTTGGCAACTTCTCTGTCGCCAACAGATCTTTCTCGTGCAAGAGCCAAGCTGCTTCAACTGAGGAGTCAAGACCCAGTAATTGATCTTTAATGTTTCTCTGTTTTTTTTTGGTGGTGTTGTCAAAACGAAAAATTAAAAAGGCTATCTAATGGGTTTCGTGCTTTTGCTTTTCTTCCAGCCAAAGTTCAAGAACTGAGTGTTTATGAGATCAATGAGAGAGATCGTGGAAGCCCTGCTTATCTTCGTTTGAGCCAGAAATCTGTGAATTCTCTTGGTGATCTTGTGCCTTTTAGCAACAAAGTAAGTCCTCTCCATGATCTGATTTTTGTTTGTTTTCCATCAAAATCTTGCATTAAATTTGGAGTGCCAGCTATTTAACTTTCTATTTGTACTCTTGTGAATTTGTTTTCTTAGAAGATATTTTTCTGCAAATTACCAAAGTTTCCTGGAAATTTTTCTCAACTTCCAACTTTTGGTGTATATTTTTGCTTCAATTTCACAAAAATCAAAGCAATCCTCACTCGCAAAATTAATGGTCGTTGCAAACAAAATTAAAATTTATTTCAACCCAATAAAATTCAAAAATACATGCTTTGAAATAAAAAAAAATTACGTTGAAAAAATAAATAACAATTATTATTATTATTATTGGGTGAGAGGGTAAATAAAATTTAATAATAAAGACATCATTATAATGTGACACTTTATAAAATGCACTGTGACACAATAAAGTAAATGATGGTCATCCATTAAGATCCAAATAATTAATTACATTATGATCCAAAACTCAATACAATTATTTTATTTATTAATTAAGGGAAAAGCACATTGAGTTTTTCAGTGGTCCTTGCTACCTTAACACCAAAGCATGTTACATTACTGGAAAAGCTTTTAAAAAACGAATTAATTAGTCTTTTTAATTATTTAATATTTTGATCTGCTGATTCTTTTTAATTTAATAATACTTTATTTGAAAAAAAAATCTCTTTTTCTTATCTAATTTTTTATATATTTTTTTCTTAAAAACAAAAACTCAAAATAAATTGAAAAATGACAAAAAAAAATTAAGTTATAAAAAAATTTAAAAATGCAGATACTGTATAATTAGTTTTAAAAATAATAGAGACTAATCCATTCATTTCTTTTTATAATTTACTCATTGAAATAGGTAGTTTGTGATGACAAAAAAGAATAAAATAAAAAATGGTTGTCGTACAATTATTGATGGGAATAATTTGCTGTTTCTCATGATTACAGCTTTACACCGGAGACCTCCAGAAACGGATAGGAATAACAGCAGGAATATGTGTGCTGATACAAAACAAACCGGAAAAGAAAGGTGACCGGTATGAGGCAATCTACAGCTTCTACTTTGGTGACTACGGTCAAATTTCAGTGCAGGGATCTTATTTGACGTACGAGGACACGTATCTTGCTGTGACTGGTGGGTCGGGTATTTTTGAAGGGGCGTACGGTCAGGTTAAGCTGCAGCAGCTTGTGTTCCCTTTCAAGCTGTTTTACACATTTTACTTGAAGGGTCTCAAGGAGGACTTGCCTGAGGAGCTGCTTGGGAAGGCTGTCGAGCCCAGCCCTGCGGTCGAGCCCAGCCCTGCGGCTAAGGCTTGTGAGCCAAATGCTGTTATTGCTAATTATACTGAATAATTATGTATTGATTGTGATCGATCATTAGTTGTTTTGCCCATGGAATTTTTGAGAGAGTAATAAATAAGACTAAGTAGTGTTTGTTGCTATATATATATTTTTTCCCTATGTTGTTTCAGTTGAGTGGCTGATGGATGAGGATGTGTTGGTTTTCAGCAATTTACTTTTTCTTTATGTGCTTTTTAGGGAGCGTCTGTTTTCACGGAAGATGGTAATTATGATGGTAGAAGGATATGATCGTGACATGCAATAATATGACGTCGTTTTCTTTTGCTTCGATGTGGTGCTTTTTGGGTTAAGCCATTAGCAGCAGTTGAACGTGGTGGTGGGATGATGGTGATATTTCTGTTGGAGGTAGAGATGGACACATGTGGGCAAAGAAAAATTATGAGAATTTAGTTAATAGGAAAAATATGTTTTGACACTCTTGGTGAACATGAAAGAATTTTTGAGAAAAAATTCTTCAAAAAATCAATTTAGAAGAGGCTTGTTCCTCACAAATTTGAAGTTTTTCAAAAAGACTCGTTGCTTGGTAATTTTAGGATTATTGAGTGTATGTTTAATTAAAGAGAGAGGGGAAAAAAAAACAACAGTTATGTTGTGTAAATTACAACCAGGCTTAATTTTGTAAAGCAACTTTATTATTTTTTTACCTATTGCTTCATTTTCTTTATGCACTCAACGGGCGTGAACCATATCACCCCAAACATCATTCTTCCAATCTCTTTAACATGGATACTGACTTTCCCTGACTTCTTAGAATATATGTAAATCCAAAAAACTATATGTGATAATATATTATGCATATACGTGTACAAATATGTTTTATTTATGTATATAATTTAATATTTTTTTTATGTGTTTAGAAGATGCGATGATTAAATATAGAGTTTTAGGATTTAATATATATTTTTGGATATTATAGATTATATTTTTATAGATAGGAGCTAGTCTTATAATCTTGGCCTAAGCTATCAAGAATTAAAGAATTAAAATAGTAATAATAATAATAGATAAAAAAAATAATGATAATGATAATAATTAATGTGTTATGAAATAATGAATGTCCATCATCACATTCATATTATAGTGATTTTATTTTCTTGTCATCCTTTTCTTCAATTCTCCTATCCTTTTTATTTATTTTATAACACATTATCGCACGAAGCTCTAACCAATCTAGATAATAGACCATGAGGTATGTAGCTACCAAAAGATTTAATCAATTGTTTCAACAATTGGATTTCTTTACACGAGCGCTCTACCAAAAGATCTAAATTATTTAGATCATTAAGAGGTATGTATCTAATTTATTCATGTACTTTAAATCTATTGATACTTGAAATATATATTTGAAAAACTTAAATGATCTACTAATGATCTAATATATGTTATTTGAAAAGCTTTAACTTTATTATTATATTTATTTTCTATTATTATTATTATATATTGTATTATGAATTTTTATCATATCAAACCTCATAAACTTGATTTGGTGATTCTTGATATTTTGAATAAGAATTATTGATTATGAGTGCTTGATTTTTTTAAAAAAAATAATCTCTACTTTTTATGTCTTGGATATGCTCCTGCAGTAGCATATTGAGAAAAGGAGTTTAAGAAATATTTTGGATCGATTTTATATTTGTTAGTAGCTAAATAAAATAAAAAAGAATAAATCTCATCCAATTGGATCTACTCCATTCCCCGAAGTGAATGTGACAATTTATAATAATTTTAGACATGGATGAAGATGTGGTCATAGACATGGATATGGTGGAAATAATTATCATCATAATTGTAATGACCATAATATTACATCTTACCACCGAAGTGGATAATTATGAAAAAAAAAATAGATAAAGTCGATATTCCGAAAAATAAATATTATAGATGTGGAATGAATGAATATTGATCGTATACCTACCGTACACCAAAGCACCTCATTAAGCCTTGTCAAGCCTTATTGAAAAATAAAGAGTAAAACATGAAGGCCACTTTTATATATCAAAGTAATAGTAATTGAAATTAATTATTTGTTAGTTTTTCTATTTATAAATAAAATATTTTATATTTATTATAATTTATGTCGTATATTGATGGTTACAAATTTATTTTACTAGTTATTTATTTTGTTTATGTTTATGAGGCATATATTGATTTATTTATTTTGTATTGATTTATTTGATTATTTATTTTATCTTAATATTATATATGATAATATCAATATAATAGAAAGCTCTAGAAGAGCGACTATATTATTATCTAAAGAGATAGATTTTGAAGGCTCTAAAAGAGCGATTATATCATGACTTGAAGAGATAAATTTTTGAAGTTCTAGAAGAGTGAATAAATTATTACTTGAAGAGAAAATTTTTAAAGGCTCTAGAAAAGTCGATATATTATTACTTGAAGTGACTAATCTAAAAGGCTCTAGAAGAGCAAATATGTTATTATCCGAAATGTTAAATTTATTATGAATGATGTACTATTCTCTTCAAAGTCTCATAGAAATTTTTTGAGTTTCAAATATATTTATCTAAATGGACATTATATTAAGACGACAAATGTCAAAAATTGAATTCTTAAATATTATAATTATATCGGATAGAAAGCATGTATTGGAGAAATTATTCGCTTTCTCATCTATTCTTTATTACCAACATTGGAATGCTTGAAAACAAAATATATTATAGTAAACCGAAGTTTACTAATTCAAATACTTTTACTATGTGACATGACCAGTTATGTTATCTTGAGTCTTTCATGATGCGAAAAGATTATTAAAAAAAATTATATGAATATCTATTGAAAAGCCAAAAGATTCTTCAATTTAATGAACTTTCATGTTTCGCATGTTGTTAAGACAAATTGATGATTAAGCCATCATCAAGTAAAGTTGAGATTGAATCTCCAGTATTTTAGAATATATTCAAGGTGATATATGTGGATCAATTCATCCACCATGTGGACCATTTAAATATTTTACAATTTTGATAAATGCGTCCATAAGATGGTCACGTATATGCTTATTATCTACTCGAAACTTGACGTTTTCGAGATTGCTAGCAAATAATTTGATTTCGAGCATAATTTTTAAATTATGTCATTAAAACAAGTCACCTTGATAATGTCGATAAATTTATTTCTCAAGCATTAAATTATTATTAATTGGCTATTGAACATCCTGTTGCTCATGTTCATACTCAAAAAGGTTTAGCAAAATCATTTATCAAAAGGCTCCAATTGATAGCTAAACCATTATTTAAAAATAAAACTCCTTGTTTATGTTTGGGGATATGCAATCTTACATGCAATAACACTTATTCGCATATGACCCATAAGTTATCAAAAATTCTCTCATCTTCAATTGATTTATGGTCATGAGCCAATTAAGAATTTTTGACATTGCGAGTGTATATTCTTAGTGCTCCTCTATAATGAAATAAAATGGACACTTAAAAGAGATTGGGAATATATGAATCATCTTCGATAATTCAATCTCTTGATTCATGAACAAGAGAAAATTTTTACGGCTCGATTTATCGATTGTCATTTTAATGAAATAGTTTTTTCAACATTAGGGGAGAGAATAAGTAAAATAAGTAGTTGAAAATGTTGAAAAAAAATTACATGGAGTGCTCTATCTTTATATCATATTGAATCTCGTACAAAATAATGTGAACCGAAGTTCAAAAGATAATTCATTCATAAAGTATTAGAAACCGACTGCTAGATGCATTCTTAGATCCTAAATGAGTAACTATAATGCATATCCCCACCGAGAATGCTTATATTAGAATTGATGTCCTAGAAGGACAATCTATTAATGTTATAGCTAGTAAATCTAAAGCACGCCCGAAGCGTGGTAGACCGATCGGTTCTAAAGATAAAATTTCTAAAAGAAAGGGGCAAGATAAAAATATAAAGAATGTAAATATTCATAAAACGGTCCAAGATATTTCGATAATAGGCTTCCCGAAGAAGTCCAAATACTTGAGAAAAATCAAGAGATTTTGATAAATTATATCAATGCAGGGAGAAAATAAGATCGAAGAGAAACATCGATTGATAAGATTTTTGCATATAATATTGCAATTGATATTATGGATAAAAATAAGGATACCGAGCCTAAATTATTGAAGAATATCGACATAAAGATGATTGGCCTAAATGAAAAGAGCAATCTAGGCAAAATTATGTTCTTTTATAAAAGAGTAGTTTTTGAACCCATAGCTAAAACACCCGAAGATGTTAAGTTAGTGGGATACAAATATGTATTTATACGAAAATGAAATAAGAAAGATGAGATTATAAGATATAAAGCAAAACTTTTAACACAAAAGTTTTCGTAAAGAATTGACATTGATCATGAGGAGACATATTCTCCTATAGTGGATGCAATTGTCTTTTGTTCTCTCATTAGCTTGGAAAAATGTATGAAAAACATTCATATGCATGCATTTAAGGAATGTGATCACGGTTTATTTGTTCATTTGAAATGATATCGGTATGAAAGTCCTAGAAGGACTGAACATGCCGAAGCATGTAATACATATTCTCGAGAAAAGAATTTAATTAAATTATAGAGATCTCTATTATGATTATTTTAATATTTTTTTATTATTTTGGGTTTTAAAAATTCAATTTATACTTTTTATATTTTATTTTTATATCTACTATTTATTATTAACTCGTGTGCATGTGATTTAATCACTTCAATGATTATTTATTGAAAGAAAGTTATAGAAATAACCTTATTTGTTCATATGTTTTTATTTGAAAAGGGATTTATTTTATATGTTGATAACTTAAATATTATTGGAACTCCCGAAGAGATTTCAAGTGTCATAAATTACCTAAAAAAAGGAAATTTGATGTGAATATCTTGGAAAAACAAAAATGTTATCTCGACTTGCGGTTCGAGCACTCGGAAAATGAGATTTTCATTCATTAGTCAATTTATATAGAAAAAGCTTCTACAATGATTTTATATAAATATCATTCATCGACTAGCCCAACGGTAGTTCATTCACTTGATATCCGAAAAGATACTTTTCGACCTCGAGAAGATAACGAAGTACTTGGTCCCGAAGTACCATATTTTAGTGTCGGTGATACATTGATATATCTTGCTAATAATACTCGACTCGATATAGTTTTTTCTATAAATTCATTAGCAATTCATAGTTTTATTTCAATATGGAGATATTGAACGATATTGAAATAAAGTTAAATATATACTATGTTATCTTCGAGGAATAATTGATAGAGGCTTATATTACTCCAATAAATCAAAGACAAGATTAATTTATTATGCGGATGCGAGTTATTTATCCGATCTACATGAAGCTCGATCACAACTAGTTATATATTTACATATGGAGATCCAGCTATATCTTTGTGTTCTATAAAGCAAACTATAGTCGCCACATCTTCAAATCATACGAAATATCAATTCACGAGACAAGTCGAGAATGTGTTTGGCTAAGATCAACGATCCATTGTATACGAGAGACATGCAATTTATCTACTAGCAAAAGAAGTTTCGACGATATCATATGAGGATAATGTTGCTTGCATAATTCTATTGAAGGAAGAATACATCAAAGTGACAATCCAGTAGATTTATTCACTAAAGCATTACCTATCACAACTTTTGAGAAGATTATTCACAAGATTGGAATGCGTCGTCTTAGAGATCTTAAATAATGCCTTCAACGAGAGGAGACCAAAATGGAGATTAATGTGTGAAAAGAATATTATACTCTTTTTCCTTCACTATGATTTTTTTCCCACTTGGGTTTTTTCCTAGTAAGGTTTTAACGAGGCATGCTCCTTGTACAATAGACATTCAAGGGGAGTGTTATGAAATAATGAATGTCCATCATCATATTCATATTATAGTGATTTTATTTTCTTGTCATCATTTTCTTCAATTCTCCTATCATTTTTATTTATTTTATAACATAATGAAATAATAATAAGTTTTAATAACTTTTTAAACGGAATGTTAGTGGCTATGAAAGAAGAGCAAAAGTCTTGAAATATAATTAAAATTAAAGAGGAGATATAAATGGCCATGAAAGAAAAGAAAATTACCATAATAGAAGAAGGTTAGTGGCCATAACAAAAAAGCCCATTCGACCCAATGGCCCAATAAACCCCATCTTTTCTCACTTTTCTTTTCTTTTGCTATTTTCCTAGGTAAATTAAATCTAAAATTTTCATACATGCTTCTTATTGTCATGCTTAGTCTAGATTTAATTTTTTGGAATTTTTGAACTCTTTTTGCTCATTTATTTCAATTTATTTAGTTTAATGCTTAGCATTCATTTCCTCTTGTTATTTAAATTACGAGTTTAGGTTAGTATTTAGTATTAATTAAATGTGAGATTTATGTTTAGATTTTAGACTCCTTCAAATGTGTGGGCTATCAATGTAATTTTAGATTTTACTTTAATATTAATTATTGCTTGAATAGTCAATAGTTAAATAAGGTAGCTAATAGGTGAATGAATCGTCAAGTCTCTTAATTTTTAGGGACTCGATTATGATTCTCCATCGACTTTGAAAAATATTAAAAATAAAAATGATAAAAAACAATAAAAAATTCATCAAACCTAGAATAATTTTAACAAGTCTTCAATTTGATAGAGACTAATATTGTCACGAATTTCAAATCCATCATTTTAGTAATTAGGTTGTTCTTCAATATATCGGTTATATCAAAACTTAAGTTAGATCCGATGTTGAATTAAGTAGACTTTGGATGATGGAGTCTAACGATTGATTCAATATGATGTAAAAAAAAAAAAAATGGTTTAGGTAATAAACTTGGAATTTTGACTTAAGAATTAACTTAGCAAAAATTAAAATTTTTAGGAGATAAACTTTTAAGATTTGACTAACTTCTTACCGAATAATCTTTGAACTAATGTTATTGTTAGATTTTTTTTTTTAATACTAGATGATGACTCTAAAATATTATTTTAACTCTCGGTTTCGAGTATATAAAATAAATAAATAATTTTTAATAAAATATTTTGAAAGTTCCTTAAATGTCGGGTAACCACATTTCGTAAAACTAAAAATAAAAAATAAAAAATTTAGAATGTAAGAATTACATAATTAGTATTTGAAATAAGATAGATTAAGTAATTCGTTTTCCGAAACTAAAGAAACTATTTTATAATTTGCTCTTTTTTTTATTCTTTTGATGGACAAACAAGTAATTCTCTTTAAATTCTATCTACATGTTTGCATTTGGTATTGTCACTATAAAAATATTTTTAGTAAATTATACTTTTATTTTTTATTTTCAATATGATTGTAACTCATTCCTCGATATTCAATATAAGATAAGTTACTTTTCATCTAAATCACAGTTGCACGTTTAATCCCTAAGGAGTCTTGACCTCACATCTCATCTTCAGTATTCTTTTCATTTTACTATCAGAGCTCTCTCTTGTTTAACCATGATTTTCCCTCGCTTGAAAAGTTTAGGACCTAATTTGTAATTATCATTCCTAGCTGTTCTTTTCTTCTTCTTCAATGCTTATAAAGATTACAACTTACCAAAAAAAAAAAATCACTCACTGCAGTCGGTATGTTAGGGGGACCAAACCTTGTTATGCCAGATATACAATAGGGTGATTTGAATAGTTTTTAAAACCAACTACTTTTATCTCTCAGTTTTTCACTCTCCAAAACAAACAGACACTCACTCTTTCTCTGTTGTCGTTTCATCTCCGTCCTTACCACCTCGATGCTACAGAATGACTGTCCAACACATCGGCTAAAGTAGAGGAGTCGTCTTCTCCTACCATAAGCAAAAGACGACGGCAGCGACAGCAACAACCGAGCAACACAGACAACACATTAAGTGTTTGAAGGAGAAAAAAGTAGAGGAGGAAGAGTGGTCGACCATGCCAAAACAGAGTGGTTTGAAAGAGAAAAAGGTGAAGAAGGAAGAACAATCGACCATGCCGTAATAGAGTCGTTTGAAGGAGAAAAGGGTCGAGAAAGAAAAGCGGTGGACTGCTCTTCCTTCTCTACTTTTTTTTCCTTTAAATGTTTGAAGGAGAAAAGGTAGAGAAGAAAGAGCAGTCGACCATACCAACACAGAGTCGTTTGAAAAAGAAAAAAAATGGAGAAGGAAGAGGAGCAGGTGTTTCATAGAGGAAGAGGAGGATGATACAAACTCAATTGAAGTAAGAACTAGAATTGGGTCTGATAATAGAGGTTCTAGATCTGAAGGAAAGGGGAAGTGTGGATCTGGTAAAGCAGGGAAAAATATATCAACTCCTAAAAACGTTGAGGAGAAGGATGAAATGCCGTTGAGGTTTGTAAGAGATTGGCTTTCTGATGAAGGAGTGATAAAATAGTGGCCTCATCGATACATAAATTAATTCCGGGTTCAAAAGATTTAAATAGTTCGGGTGATTCTGAAGAGATAACAAAGATTCTCAGGTATGCTTATGAAAGGGCATTTCAAAGATCAGCTGGTGATAATTTTGTGTTTAGTTTGCCAAAAAAGTTCCCTAATATTACTGATCCTTTTTCTTCTTCTGAAGCTCAATTGTAGCCATTCATATTAGCATTTTATCATTAATTTATCAGTATTAAACCAAAAATTCATGATTACCATAGCTTTGTTCTTGTAACTTGATTATTTCGAAATGAAAATTAAAATCCATTCTCATGAAAAAAAAAAAAAAGAGAGATGGTAGTGCTAAAGATTGATCTGAACTTTTTAGGGAAAAAAAGTGCATTTTGAAGAAACCCTCGATAACTGATGAGAAATTGAGCTGTAAATGATGATGAAGAAGAAAAAGATATGCTACTTGTAGTGGAAGCTAGTGGAGAATTGAGAGGAAATGTTGCTGCTGCTACAACTATGATTTTATCAAGGAACTTTTTTGTATCTGCTAAACCAGTTTTCTCACAATCATTATTCAGAATTGGTGATTTGTTCTAGCTGTTTTTTTTTTTTTAATTGAATTTTGATTGCTTAGACTTTCTCTGGTTTCTGTTGGTATTGGATTTGAAAAAATAGTTATAACTTTGGACAAGACTTCACCTAAAATGGTGTAAATCTTATTATTATTATTTTTTAATGAACAACATTTGATAAATTCAGATTTTGGAAATGAAATGAATTTTAACTGAGTTTTTGGATAATTTTCTAAAATCCATAATGCTATAAGAGAATAAAGCGTATTAGGCACCTGAATTTGAATTTCATTACTAATTGGGTTTTATTTTTTATTTTTTTTTCCAAATCCTTTTTATTTATTTTCTTGTTTTACGGATTTATTTTTATTTTTTTCAAATCACGTCTAGGACGCTTGCGGAATTCTACACCACCACATCCAGTCAAGATTGGAAAAGTTTATATTTTACCAAAAACTAGTTTACGTTAGTCAAATTAAATATATTTTTTTAAGATTACAGGTGAAGTGAGTTTGACTAATATTTCAATGTGTTTTTATGTAATTTAGCTTTTATAAATTAGATTTTAGTTAAGAAAATATATAATTTAAAATTTTGATTAAAAAAATATTTTAGAATAAATATAAATAGAAAGATGGATGTTCTCTTTGGACAAAAGGGGTATAAAAAAGAAATAAATAAAATATATGAATATCTTTTATTTTTTTCATTCTTACTTTTAATTATCAATTATTATTTTTAAAATTATTTTTTTAATCTTAAAATATACTTTCAGTCTTTAAATCCGACATATATATTTACAACCAGGATAGTTTTATTTAAAAATTATATAAAATATATTTTTTAATGAAAAAATAATCATGTTCATAAAAAATTATTAAAAAAATAAATCATATTTTTAAATAAATAAAATTTAATAAAAATAGAAAGAAAAAATTAATTGAATGAAAATTTTTATAAAAAAAATAATAATAAATTAAAAAGATAAATTTTAAATAATAAAAAATATATATTTTAAGTGTAAATCATAAAAACACATTATTGATATTTCTTCCTTGTTAGGACGTGGAAAACTCAAAAATTAATTTTTTGGGTTTTTATAAATTTAAGCACAAAATCAAATGATTGGGAAAAAACCGAAAAAAAATATATAAAGTTAGGCCTACGCGTGCTAGGCCTGTACTCTAGTGCTCGAAAAACCAGACCCAATAGTAAATTAACTAGAAATGCATTGGTAGCCCTTTTTTTCAAAAAAAAAAAAAAAAGCGCAAAACGGTGAACGACATTGATCGTCAGAAATCTCACTAAAAAATTAGGGTATTATATTTTGGACTTTCAAAACCATTCTTCAAAATCACTAACATTTGCTGAAAAAATACGTTTGAAACCTTTAAACTCATTTCATTGAACTTAAAAAAATTTAAAAATCCAAATCAAATTTTAAAACTTAAAAATATTTTGGAATTGTTTTTAAAAGCCACAATAATTATGAATTGTTTAGTGAAGGCACTAGAAAGCCATGTTTCTCAAATCCTTCCTCAATAATGTTCCAGCTGAGAGCAAAAACGAAGGACAATCATCTTTAATCACTTGTCACTTGTCAGTTGTCACCGTACAATCATCTCCGTTGAAGCTAAGCGTATTCCAAGAGTGGTTTTAGTGATCTTGTGTACCGACCATTTAAAGCGCCATAAAGGTAAAGGGTATTATTGGAACTAAAATTGACTAGTTGGATGACAGCTAAGGATCCCACCAACGGTGTATATTCAAAAGGAATAAATTATGAATCAAAATAAAAAAGATAACAGTAGGTTTTTGAAAATCGAGGAATCATGTGCAGTCGCATCGAAAACTTGAGGCGTGAAAGAATAATCCAATGTTGATTTGATTTTTTTCTTTTTTGACATGCGGAGAGCATGCGCTTTTAGCATCATTGGGCAGCAGAGATTCCTGACATCAAAAAATCAATTTCATAATGTAATCATCACGTGGCCAACGATAATTCTAGAGCTACATAAGCTGTTTCATATTAAAAAATAATATAAAAAAAATCATTATCATTTTATAAAAGATAATGATCTTTTAGAGAGATAAAAAAATATTAGGTAATTTATTTTTGGAGAGAAAACAATATATTTCATATCAGTCCTTGTTTATCGTATAAGGTTCGGATTACTAATTATGCTAATGATGAAAAAGAATTTAAAAAGATAATTACTTATAAATAATATTTAATGTAAAGAAATAATCATCGAAAAATATTCTAACACATAACAAGTCAATTACGAAATATATCAATTTTAGCACACTGTTTTAGCATACTGAATTTACATTAAATGATAACCAACAATAGTTAAAGAAATAAATTTAAAATAAATCCTTCATATTTTTATCGTATAAGGTTTGAATTCCTAATTGTCCAATAAATTACAAACAATACTTTCATAGTAAGACATAATAACAATTTTAGATATGCTAAGACATATCATTTGAATTAAAAAGTATATCGTTTTTAGCACACTCTTTCAGCACATTATATTTACACTAATGAATAACTAATAATATTTAAAGCAATAAATTTAAGATAAATCCTTTATATTTTTATCGTGTAAGGTTTGAGTTCTCAATTGAGCAATGAATTACAAACAATACTTTCATCGTAAGACATACCATTTGAATAATATGCTAAGACATATAAGTTAAACTAAGAAGTATATCATTTTTAACACACTCTTTCAGCATACTAGATTTACATCAAGGGAAAAAAAGAGATGGTATGAGATTGGTTGAGTTGGGCGATCAAAGAAGTAAATAATTAATGATGCACGATTAACAAAGCCACTAACATAGATATTATAAATAAATCATTGTTAAAATTTGAAATTCAAATTTTGCTCGTTCAAAATTACAAAACCCTAGTCCGAAATTTTCAGTGGTTATTATGTCATTTAACTTTTTCACTTTTCAAGTTTAACCCTAAAAATTTTTTATTTTTGAAAAAGATGTTTGTCACCATGGTGTCGACAAACATTTTCGTAAAAAAATATTAAATTCAAAACCTTTTTATAAGTTGAGGGGAGCAGAGCTCCACTCTTGCAATTGGTTATCTATTATGAATTTTGAGTTTTAACTCACTAATCCATGAACAGGGTAAAAAAATCCACCACTCGAATTCATTTTTTATATATATATAAAATGAATTTTTATATTTATGTAAATTGATGTTAAGATACCTAAAAGTGTTGTTTTTAAAAAAGGCTAAAGATGTAAGATGTCTTTTTATTGTTTTATTTATTTTAATCATATCTTTCTATTAATTTTTTTTAATAATCTCGTCCCTTTATTTTTAATTTGAATCTTAATTTCATTAAAAAAAATAAAGATACAAATTAAGAATACAAGGATACGATTATTAAAAAATTAATAAAAAATATGATTAAAATAAATCAAACGGTATGAGAGATATCTTGAACCTTTAACATTTTTTAGAAATATATATAGGTTAACATAATTTGACCTTTTAAATGATTTGTTCATGTCATTAAAAAAAAAAAATTGTTTAGTTTGGGATCTTATCTAGTTAGTCTCATATGTAGAGATATTTGAAAGTTTGATCCCAATACAAATGAGGTAAATATTCATTTTAGATACGTATAGACCGAAAAAAAAAACGTAATGATCCATGTTGATCGTAGAGTCGGTCTAATTATTATTTACATTTTTTTTCTATACCAAAAAAATTTAAAAGTCATCTTATTATTTTCTCGTCTATGACTTTGTTAAAGATGGACATTTCAAGATGGAAACAATTGTTATCCCTTTTTTCATCTTCTTCTTTTAAATAATAATAATAATAAAAGATGTATTACATAGCTACTAAACCTAAGTCAACCATAAAAGCCATACAACATAATCCACATTTTTTATTCCTTATAAGAACGAGCAGATATTTTTGGTCAAAGGTAAGTAATATGATCCAATAGAATAAAAAATATAATGTAATGGGTTGATACATTACATTATTTTGCTTGTTTATAAATTTTCTTAGTAACGTAATAGAGATCATTGAGTTTGTAATTCGAGTGGTAGTGATCTCTTACAATAAAAAGGTACGGGTTTAAATCTTAATCGTCTAAGTTCTAATAAAAATCTTGAGTGTGTGAGTTTAAAAAAAAAACACAATAGTAATGTTAACAAGAAAAGTGTGGAATCCGCATGTTATACCGCACAAAGAAGAATATTAGTTCCTGGTCGCAAGGGCATTCAACTCATCCGAGCTAAATCATTTTCTAACCTCATCCGAGCTAAATCACTTTCTAACCAAAGCTTGGCAATTGCAAAAAGCATCCGCCTACCAAGCTAGGTCAAAAATAAACAAAAGATGCATTTGTTTACAAATAACAAAATGCTACTACAATATTAGCTAGGTCGGTCCATCGAATCTTAAACTACATGATATCAATATAAAATCCTCTCTTTACTAATTAATTTATTTCTTTAAGCAAAATTCAATCATCTTTAGACACTCGATATATTGCTAATTAGTTTTATGAGTTAAATCGTAATTAATCTATCTAGATCCTTCATTAATTTGGATGATGAAAGCTATATCATAGTGATTTGGTAGTTGTT